CTGAACATCTCCTGTTAATCTCTTTCTGACTCCTATTGCCTTGGTTCATGTCCTCATTACTCCTATGGAGCAGGATATAAAGGAACTTACCAATGTGTTCCTCCTGACTTCTCTTTAGTATGGTAGAATAACACACTCTTAAGCATTTTGGAGGTGTGCCAGAGTTGCTGGTCATTGTCCTGCTTCTAGCCTCTGCCAACTGGGCAGTGACTGTGATTTGCATACCACATGATCTTGGCCTCCATAGCCAATTGTCCCAGGGATGGGCTTCTGTCCTTAAGGTGGCTCCGTCTATAGATTTGGTTAGCCAACTTAGGACATGGGTGCCTGGTTGTAAAATATAAGCTGAATAAAATTCCTCTTTTAGGATTTCAGAATAGAGAAGCCAGAGAGGCTCAGGCTGCTGTACTGCTGATAAGAAAGGTCAGCAGGAATAATGGACATGAGCAGGCTGCAGCTATGAGGAAGCAGATACTGTGTATAAGCAGGGGAGCTATGAACCAGAAGAGAACAGAAAAAAATAAGCCAAGGCACTGTGAAAGGGTGATGTTTCAGTTTTGGGTGGTTCTTTAGTCATATTTCTGAAGCCCGGCTGTATTGTGATTCCTACTGTCAGATGTCCATGAGATTGCTGATTATTTAAAAAACCCTGGTCTGAGTACATATACCCTTGTTTCCTGCAATAAACTGGCCAATGAGCTATGTGTTTCAGTAAGCCCATAATGTTATGAGGAGACATGTGGAAGAAAGAGGAACTATTCTAGAGCAGCAATATGAAGTCCCAAACTCAGTGTTTATTCCACTCCTTCTTAAAGCATTAGCTTGAAGGGGAAAAAAACAGGAAGGTTGTATCACTTTTTACTTTGGAGGTGAATGATGAGCTTCGTATATCAAAATTAATCTTTACATAAAAAGAAAAAATGATCCTTGGAAACATAATTTCAGAAAGGAAAAGTAATTGCTGCTATAAACATCACATGAAAATGACAGTAATAGGTGACATAACATTGTCTGACACTTGTTAATAGTGGGATAATCAAACCACCTTTTAGATGCCATGTTTCTAGGTATCTATCTTTCATTTTGCCAACTGTTGGGACCCATGGGTTTGCTGAAGATCTTCAGAATTCCTAGTCACACGACCATATTCCTCTCTGAAATAAGAATTGATGAGTACGTTCATTGAAGATCTATAGGTTAAAACCAACATTAAGTATATGTAACCAATACTCTAAATATAGGATACCTTCAGAAAGCATCTTTCTGTCTCCCTCTTTCCCTATATATTTGGTAGATGAATTTTTCATTGTTTAGGATAAAAACAAACAGGCCACGTCAGGACCCTTGAGCATTCTCAGGCAACAGAAGGCCCCAAACTCACTTGAAATTGTTTTTGGTGCATCTAATTCCATGTCATAATCAAAACTCAGAACTTGATTTAAAGTTAAGTTGTAACTTTTTCCCTACTGAGAAGCCATGTATGGGTGGGTAGCTTAGGAAGGGGAGTGTCTTCCTCTGCTTGCTCCTGTAGCTTCTTGATCCTTCTAGGGTTGCTATGGGAGAAGACAGAAGTGGAGAGGGATGAGAATGTTCTATTTTCAGTGGTGGAGTTGTCCACTGGCCTACTTTCTGGACCTGATAAACAGTTAAACCAGACCACACTTGGTAGAGGCTGTTGCAGGTTCTTGGGAGACTGAACCCAATACTGGTGATGTCTTGCCTGCAGTTCCCTGATTTGGGCAAATGGGTTCTCCATTTAAGCAGACCCCTCAGCCCCTAGGAACCCAGTGTTCCCATATGGGTCTCCCCTTCTAAGGCCTGCATGCAATGAAGGTGCCCTCATACCAGTCCCGTTTCACATTTGGTTCATATCTGGTCCATAAGGACACACACACACACACACAGACACACTTCCCTGGGACAAACTCAGAGAAACAGCATTGGCTGCCTTCACTCTACAGCCAGAACTGTTTGCTAACCTATCTTGTCTGATTTCTCATGAGAGTTAGTCCATTATGTTCTTCCTACCCAAGGACGTACATTTGCTTTCCAGTGAGTTCAACTTATGTCCCTCCCTCTTGATATGAAGTGATTCCCAACCTTTCTTTCACTTTGGTAGAAAGTAAGTGAGAACACTTCTTCTTTTTTAAAAAACTCCTCCAAAGATCCTCTCTTTCAGGTCCATAATAATCCTCCATGTGATCTGGCATTTCCCTGAAATGTAGCATCTATTGTTTCATAGTGCCTTAGTCAATACTTTGGTTTGAACATCCTATATCATGGGATTTTTGTTTGTTTGATACTCTAGTGTCAGAAATTTGTTGTTGAAGTACTGTTTTACCTTTAGTCTCTGCATTTCCTGTACACCATAACCACACAGTCATACTCAGGTAGGAAGTGCTCCAAAACAACAAGTGTCTGGCTTTCTGGCCAGCTATGTTTTTTGAAGGGAAACGATGGATTTTCTCTATCTTAGCTGAGCAGACATTGAAACTCTTGGAAGCTTTCCTACTGGTGGTCCAGGAGAAGGATCAACAACCTAGGACCCAGGGGCTACACAACTCTCACTCTGCCTGGAGAAGACACGAATGAACACAGGACACCCAGACACACAAGTGAAGAATCTTGTCTATAGCATCCCTAGTTGTATTGAGAGTGGGAACGTCCTGCAGGACTACTAGAAGGGACTCTTTAGCTCAGTATCCTTAAGGACAGGAAGAAGGACTGCAATAGGCTGAGGTAATGACAGTAATAGGTGACATAACACTGTCTGACACTTGTCAACAGTGGGATAATCAAACCACCTTTTAGATGCCATGTTTCTAGGTATCTATTCAGGCCAGACATCCCTGAGTAATCAGGAGCCAGAAGGACTGACTATGGATAAAGGCAGAAAGCACGGGAGGCGACTGCTGCTGGGGCAAGTGCCCATTAGCTAAGGCCTTCGCAATGTGGATCCCAATATACCTTGCCAGCCTCATCTCCTTCACTCTCCTTCCCTTTACTCTAGCCACGCAAAGCCACCTGCCATTTCCTGAATATCTGTGTCCTTTCACACCCTCATATTTTACATATACGGTTCCCTTATAGAATACCCTCCGCACTCCCAATCCTCACCCATTGCTTCTGTTCAGCCATCAAGACCTAGCTTAAGTCCAAGCTTCTGTGAATCATTTCTGCTACTTTCCCCACCTGGTACCATTTTACATGTGTCAGTTCCAGCCCTCACTGCACTATGCTGTGCTTTATTCACTTGTCTTTCCTTGCTCCTTAACAGATAGCGAGTATCTCAAAGGCAAGGACTATGATTTATTCATTTGTATAATCCCACCGCCTACTACTATGCCTCACTGCTGCAAGGACTTGTATTCATTCTCTACTGTTATATAACAAATTATCATACAATTAGCTGTTTAAAACAACACATTTATTGTCTCAGTTTCTGTAAACCAGAGGTCTAGGCTTGGTGGGGCTGAATTCTTGGATTAAAGTCTCACTGAGCTGAAATCAAGATGTTGGTCAAGGCTGCAGTTCTCATCTGTCATTGTGGATCCTCTTTTAAGCTCACTGATTATTAGAAGAATTAATTTTCTTGAAGCTACAAGACTGATACCCCACCTTCCTGCTCATTTTTGGCCGAGAACTACTCAGTTCCTAGAGACTACCCAGTTTCTTGCCATGTGGCTCCACTAGGCAATCCATATGACGCTTGCTTCCTTCCAGGCTCGCTAGAGCACATCTTTCTACTTTCCTCTTTGTAACTAACCAGAGAGAATTCTCTGGTTTTAAAGGGCTCACCCAGTTAGGTCAGGCCCACTCAAGTTAATTTCTCTTCTGACATATAATGTAATATAATCACAGCAGTGATTATTTCCAACCACACTCTAAGGGACAGGGAATTATCCAAGAGTGGGGGTCATTGGGGTCATCCTAGAATTCTGCCTACCCCAGGGTTCAATATTTACGTCAAATAAATGTTCCAGAAATTTGTAAATTATAAACACTGCTATTCAATTGCTAAGATTTTCTTTTCTTCTTCTTCTTCTTCTTTTTTTTTTTTTAAAGACACACAGTCTCACTGTATTTCCAAGGCTGGATGCAAACTCCAGGGGTCTTCTGCCTCATCTTCTCAAGTAGCTGGGACTACAGGCATGTACTGCTGTACTCAGCTTAAAGGTTTTTTAAGGTGCTTCCAAATTTGTGTTGGATCCAGAATGTTTGGGGATGCTGTATGTGAGATAATAGCCCCTGCAATGAGTCTGCAGAGCACTGGAAATCTGGGGCTGTGGGGCAAGACCTGGCCTGACAGCTGACTAGCTGTGTGACATTGGATTAAGTCCCTAATATCTTCTGAATTTCAGATTCATCCTCATATATAAAATGGGAGAGTGGGAGTAGACAATGTCTAAGGCCAGCTAGCTCTAATATTCTATACTAAGACTGAATCATAATGTTCAAATTAAAATCTAGTGACTCACAATATCCAAATTCATTCAAATAGTTTTAAAAATAATTTCATTATACAGGGAACTGCAGTGGTAAGATTTTAAGAGGAAAGGCAGTTTTGTTTTCAAGTGAATCCATTTCTACACTGGCTGAATCTGACTAAATATAAATAAGGGTATACAAATACAGTTCTAACTCTTTACATAGAATGGCAAAGAGTACTTATCTTTAGATGACACATTTAGGAGTGAATTTTTTACGAGATATTGAAATTTGATTTCAAAAATCCTATTGTCTTAAAAAAAGTTTAACTAACTCAATTGATGGTAACTGAATAACTATCAAAGGCAGTCCTCAAATATTATAAATCAATTCAATGACTATGCAGAGAATATTCAGATTTTAATATACATTTTAAGGGTTTAAGTCTTTCTTTTGTTTTTCTCAAATGATGCCTCTTTGGCTAGAATAATAATTCTCTTCTACTCAACAAAAATGAACTCTGATTTTAAACAGGTATTATTAAATCCCACTGAATAGGCTTCATGCAGATGTATTCCTTAAAACATCCTTTTATTGACCATGCACGGTTATTAACAATTCACATTTCACTTTATCTACTGAGTGGAAGAGCATTTATTCTTTCATTAAAAAGTTAAGCCCTCCGGGGCAGCAGCAGAAATGCAGAGCCTTCTTCCTATAAACGGCATTGCCCAGTGAATGAGAAGTGCTTCTCTATTAATACGAAAAGGATAAATAAGACAAATGGACTTCTTCCTCCCTCCGTCATCCCCCTCCCTGCCAATATGCTCCTCTTATTTTATAAAATGCCAATAAGTAAAGAGTTCCCACACTGATACTTCCATCAACCAAAAGAGGAATGTCAACATTTATTTGGCACCACTGAGTTCAGAACATCCTTAGGGCTCTGTGTAAGTGACAAAAGGAGTACGAGGTCACGGTCAAATATTTCCTTAGGAAGATGCCTATGGGAAGAGCGGGTGGAAAATCATGAGGGCATTAGTCAGCCTCCGGCACTTTGCTGCTCAAGTTTCAGGAGCTGTTTTTCAAGTTTTGAGGCGTTTACTCGATGCATCATCAGAAACTGGCCATTCAAGTGAAAGACAGGAATGTCAAATTTATACCTTTCATACCAGGCAGAGTTTTCTGGAAGTGTGATGTTTACCTCCTGTAAAATAAACTGAAAACAGAGACAGACTAAAGCTCTGTAGAGACCATGGGGTGACGGAACAACTGCAGTGATAAACTGATCCCCAGACCATTTCTAATGCCGTTTTCCTTACAGTTGTTTGTTTGTTTTATGTCCAAAGTGATCTAATATCCCTAATTTCCCAAACTTGACTGGGTTCGTTATATTCTCTACTTCCTGATCTTGCTGCTTTTCTGTTACCCTTGTTACATTCAGCATCAGGACAGTACTGAGTTCCAACGAAATAAAACATTTCCCAGTTGAAAAGCTCACTGAGAATCAGGACAGAAACGTTTTGGTTTTAGGAACTGGAAAGGTATGATGGTGTGTTACATGAAAACACATCTGTGGAAACTACAAAACAAGATAAAAGGAATGGGGGCAAAAGTTTAAAGAAAACACGAAAACTGCACCTGCTAGTTAACTCTGACTCATTAAGAGCCAGAGTAAGAAAACCAGTACTGCTCAGAGAAAAACACTTAGGTGTAATGAGTTTTATGGTAATAAGCACTAAACTCTCTCTCTGAAGAATAGAAAGAAAATTTAAATGAAAAATCATTTAATCTTTTTTCCTAAAGAAAGGATCCAGGCAGACACTTTATACCACATCCAATATGCATTCCATATACATAAAAGCCACACTGTATTATATTACCCTGTGTTTATAAGGCTTGAGTACTTCCTTGGCTTCATCACAAAGGGGGCATGGGTCCTACAGGAAGAAGAAAAGATCAAGCCATTAAACCCAAAGAATGGCATTTGCCCTTACGAAAACAAACAAAACAAAACAAAAAACCCGCAAGAAGCAGATTATACTTATTTTAAAGAATAGTTTTCTATCAGGTTAGTTATACTGTTTTTCCAAAGTAAAACACTACCATAGAATCTTATAAATGACTAGTATTTCTTACGCTCTGCAATTTTTTGGTTGTTTTGTTCCGATTTTTCTCCATAAATCAAGCCATTTATCTATGTGTATGTATAATACACTTAGATGGTTTCTCTTTCTCACTAATCTAAGGGCTTTGTGCTTCCTAGGTCACGTGCACCTTTGTGGCCTCATACATACAGTTGGCCTGGCTGACACCACGAGGATGGCTTAAAGTCTGTTCTGACTGAAAGCACTGAGCCTTGCCAGCCTGTTTTTCCTAATCAGTCCACAGAAGAAACCCATTAGGATAGCGTTAGATAGTAATTGCCTCATCTTTAAAATGGAAAACAAATCTCTACACACTTCAGATGATTACTGCACCACCTGTTTTCTTATGACAAGTGTCAACAGTAGGTTTCCTGGACAAATTCTCCACCTAAAGAGCAAACAACTTTTAGTGTCCATTGCTTGCACTCCTAAAGCATCTAACAGAGAAGTCTGATGATACTATGGATCATCAGATTTTAAAGGCTTCTCAGTCCTTGACTCGATGAACAGGCACTAGCTATAGGTTCTCTTGCATGAGCTCAAAACAGACCCTACTTTACAAATGCTTATACAGAAACTTCTTTTTAACATGACAGGAAGAGAGAAGCTATCGTGTAAAAGGCCCTTCCTCCAGCTTAACTCACAGCATGTTTTGAAATAAGAACTCAGACCATCAAAGGGTTTTTCCAGCCCTAAACTCCTAGAACAGAGAATTGGCTTATCATGTTATTATTAGCATTAGTAATACATAGATTATGGATAGTTTGTAATGTTTTAAGATAATCATCCTAAAGTTTTCAGAGAAAGTTTCAAAAAGTCAACACAGGATCTTAAAAGCAAAACAAACCTAGAACATGCTAAATTACAGAAGTACCAAATCTGCTAAAATTTTGCTTTTATATTAAAAATTTTAGAAGACTCTAGACTGGGTTATTTTTAAATTTTTTAATTTTTTGTGCTTTAGGTTCTGGGGTACATGTGCAAAACATGCAGGACTGTCGCATAGGTACAAACATGGCAATGTGGTTTGCTGCCTCTATCCCCCCGTCACCTATATCTGGCATTTCTCCCCATGTTATCCCTCCCCAACCTCCCTACCCCCACGCTGTCCTTCTCCTATTCCCTCCCAACAGACCCCAGTGTGTGATGGTCCCCTCCCTGTGTCCATGTGTTCTCACTGTTCAACACCCACCTATGAGTGAGAACATGCGGTATTCGATTTTCTGTTCTTGTGTCAGTTTACTGAGAATGATGGTTTCCAGGTTCATCCATGTTCCTACAAAGGACATGAACTCATCATTTTTTATGGCTGCATAGTATTCCATAGTCACATTGCCTTTTCCAGTGTATCATTGATGGGCATTTGGGTTGGTTTCAGGTCTTTGCTATTGTAAACAGTGCTGCAATGAACATATGCGTGCATGTGTCTTTATAAAAGAATGATTTATAATCCTTTGGATATATACCCAGTAATGGGATTGCTGGGTCAAATGGAATTTCTATTTTTAGATCCTTGAGGAATTGCCACACAGTCTTCCACAATGGTTGAACTAATTTACACTCCCACCAACACTGTAAAGGTGTTCCTATTTCTCCACATCCTCTCCAGCAACTGTTGTCTCCAGATTTTTTAATGATCACTATTCTAACTGGCATGAGATGGTATCTCATTGTGGTTTTGATTTGCACTTCTCTAATGACCAGTGATGATAAGCATTTTTTAATATGTCTGTTGGCCTCATAAATGTCTTCTTTTGAAAAGTGTCTGTTCACGACCTTTGCCCACTTTTGAACGGATTTGTTTCTTTTTTTCTTGTAGATCTGTTTTAGTTCTTTGTAGATTCTGGATATTAGCCCTTTGTCACATGGGTAGATTGCAAAAATTTTTCCCCATTCTGTTGGTTGCCAGTTCACTTTAATGATTGTTTCTTATGCTGTGCAGAAGCTCTGGAGTTTAATTAGGTCCCATTTGTCTATTTTGGCTTTTGTTGCCATTGCTTTTGGTGTTTTAGTCATGGAGTCATTGCCTATGCCTATGTCCTGAATGGTTTTGCCTAGGTTTTCTTCTAGGGTTTTTATTAAAGGTATTACATCTTATGTTTAAGTCTTTAATCCATCTGGAGTTAATTTTAGTGTAAGGTGTCAGGAAGGGGTTCAATTTCTGCTTTCTGCAGATGGCTTGCCAGTTATCCCAACACCATTTATTAAACAGAGAATTCTTTCCTCATTGCTTTTGTCAGGTTTGTCAAAGATCAGATAGTTGTAGATGTGTGGCGTTGCCTCCAAGGCCTCTGTTCTGTTCCATTGGTCTATATCTCTGTTTTGGTACCAGTACCATGCTGCTTTGATTACCGTAGCCTTGTAGCATAGTTTGGAGTCTGGTAGCATGATGCCTCCAGCTTTGTTCTTTGTGCTTAGTATTGACTTGGCTATGTGTGCTCTCTTTTGGTTCCATATGAAGGTTAAGGTGTTTTTTTCCAGTTCTGTGAAGAGGGTCATAGGCAGCTTGATGGGAATAGCATTGAATCTATAAATTACTTTGGCCAGTACGGCCATTTTCACAATATTGTTTCTTCCTAACCATGAGCATGGGATGTTTTTCCATCTGTTTGTGTTCTCTCTTATTTCATTGAGCAGTGGTTTGTAGTTCTCCTTGAAGAGGTCCTTTACATCCTTTGTTAGTTTTATTCCTAGGTATTTTATTCTCTTTGTAGCAATTGTGAATGGCACCTTGTTCTTGATTTGGCTCTCTTTAAGTCTGTTATTGGTGTATAGAATGATTGTGATTTCTGCACATTGGCTTTGTATCCTCAGACTTTGCTGAAGTTGCTTATCAGTTTCAGGAGAGTTTGGGCTGAGACAATGAGGTCTTCTAAATATACCATCATGTCATCTGCAAATAGAGACAATTTGACTTCCTCCTGGGTTTTTTGTTTTGTTTTGTTTTTTAAACCTGGGGTCCACAGAAGTCTATGCAAATTATACCTGAAAATATGGGTATATATTTTTATGAGGAAAGGCTCATCAAATTTTAAAAGGATAAGGAACCAAAAAAAAATAACAGTAGAATGGACCATTCAAATATCCTTCTCTAGGATTTTCCATGGCACTTGCCATTTCAGGCAAGGAGAGAGCTTCTGCAGAGAATCTCTCATTTTTAAAACCATCAGATCTCGTGAGACCCATTCACTATCACAAGAACATCACAGGAAAGACCTGCCCCATAATTCAATCACCTCCCACAAGGTCCCTCCCACAACCTGTGTGAATTATGGGAGCTACAAAATGAGATTTGGGTGGGGACACAGAGCCAAACCATATCACATGAGAACCAGAAGGGATTTAACCCCGAGGAGGCGAAGCTGAAGAGATTGGTAACATGTTTAGTTCCAAATTCAAGCTATTCCTGAAACCAGATCAACTCCAGAATCTTTTTGTTTAACTCATTCTAGGAAATACTTTCTATTTTTCATAATTGACAGAGATCTGATACTGTACTTTTAGGCATTTACTTCACTGAATTATAAACTGCCAAAGGTGGGAGTGCCATCTTTTTATGGTGCCTAATGGTATAGAATAAACATTAAGTATCAATACTAAGCTGAATGGAAAATTGGTGTGGTGTTTTGTTTTGTTTTTAAGAAATATTTTTGGCTATATTAGCTGGGGCCCAAACTGAAAAACAGTGCAGAACTGTTAGGCCTAGTGAGCAACACCAGCCTTAAGGGATTATTTAATTTCTGTGGTTTACACATGAGTTTCCCATCATAGACTCTCAGATGATGAAATATTTTTGGTTCCATAAGTTCCAACAGTGCAATATATACTTACAGATATAAAAAGTAGTTTAAATATTTTCTTCAATGAATTCATTTTTAAAAACTCATTAAACTTTGTTATTAGATAACTGTCATATATTTCCAAATTGCTAAAATGCCTGAAATCTGAAAAGCCTATTGAAAAGAGCTCTTTTTTGTTTGAATTGCAGTATTATTCACCAAAGTTACTTCTATTAACCTGTACTTTATTTCTTTTTGATAAATCATACAAAGTGATGTTAACTAGCAAAAAAAGGAATTAGTAATGTCTGTATTATAATTTCAGGGAGATAAAGCTCTTAAACATTTTAAAACTAGCTTTATGGCTTAAAACTAGTGTTAGGGATAAAAAAACAAGTACAATCAGTCCTCATTATTTATGGATTCCAAATTTATGAATTTGCCTAATTGCTAAAACTTCTTTGCAACCCCCAAATCAATACTTGAAGCTCTTTTGCAGGTATTCACAGGCATGTGCATGCATAGAGTGGTGAGAGATTTCACCACTTATTCCAAGTGGTGAAAAAAAAAAAGCACTTATTCCAAGCTGAGGTCAAACGAGGTGATGCTCTGCTTTCTTTTTCTAGCTCTCATACTGTAAACGTAAGCTAGCGTCCTTTTCATGGTCTGCATGGTGTTAGGATTTTTTGCATTTCTGTGCTTTCTATTGGTGATTTCACTGTTTAGATAAGCCCCCAGGCATAGTGCTGAAGTGCTGGCTAGTGTTCCTAAGCACAAGAAGACTGTGATGTGCCTTATGGAGAAAATACGTGTGTTCAATAAGCTTCATTTAGGCATGAGTTAAACACAGGTGTTACTGGCTGTGAGTTTAATGTTAATGAATCAACAATATATATTAAATAAGATATTTATTAAAAATTTTTTTTCTTTTTCAACTTTTATTGCAGGTTCAGGGGGTACATGTGCAGGTTTGTCACATGGGTAAATTGCATAACACTGGGGTTTGGTATGCAAATGATTTTGTCACTCAGGTAGTAAGCATACACTGGAAAGGGAGTTTTTTGATCTTCACCCTCCACCCTCAAGTAGGCCTTGGTGTCTATCATTCCCCTCTTTGTGTGCATGTGTACTCAGTGTTTAGCTTCCACTTATAAGTGAGAACATGTGGTATCTGGCTGGCTGTTCCTGTGTTAATCTGCTTAGGATAATGGCCTCTAACTGCATCCAGGTTAGCTGCAAGGACATGATTTCATCTATTTTATGGCTACATAGTATCCAAGTTGCATATATTTAAATAACGAATCTTTAAACAGAATCACACATAAGATAAGGTTCTGTATTTGGTAGGCTAATGAAAACATTGTGACCAGAGACTCACAGGAACCTAACTGTGTCCTTCCCCTAGGAGCAACAGTTCAGTATTCACTAATTCAGTGTTCATAGTGACTTTACAGAACATAACTACCACAAATAAAGATAACTGATTGTATTTCTAAATGATACATTTTTAAACATCATATTATAACTTATTTTTCAGCAGTCAGATGACCACTAAATACATTAATTTACCCTCTAATAATTGGAAGATAATGAGGTATATGGGTAGAAAACAGAGTTGCTGCTGGTGTGCTGATAGAAAAATTGAAGATCAGGTCTGAAGAAAGTTTATTCCATTGCCTTTCCTTTCAATTTTGTCTCCTTTTCTTAAATGTACAACTTTCTTTACCCAACAATTTTACTTTTTCACTTTGTACCTTTGTGAATAAGGTCAGCACAGGCAGAGCTGTCTTAGCGGCAGAGCAGTTTCTCAAGAAGAGTCCAAAGGAGGATCTGGCAAGTTGCATGCTATTTCCTTGAAACAAGAGCATCTTAATTCTGCCAAGAGAAAAATAAAGCAGTTAACTTATATGCCCTAGACTTTGTTCCTTACAATATAAATAGCACTTTGCAAGCTGATGATGGAATCTGAAGGCTTCAGAATTGTTTCTTCAAGTCCAGTAGTGTTGGAAAGACCTAGAAACTTGGCAAGCCTCTCTGATGTCTCAACATTCACTGTATTCCAAACAAAACATAATTTAGAATAGAAAAAAAATCCTTAGTTATGAATTAGCTGTGTGCCTAATCACTTGGTTTCTGAAAGTAAACTGCAGGGGTTTGTTAATATGAATACAAAATTTCATGTCCATATTTTGTCGGCATCTTGATGATCCCCTAAGATGTGGAGGTTTCCTGAGATGGTTAATTCACATGGATAGCTTATTATATGAGCATGCATTCAATAACATCTAGCTACTGCCATGGTAAAGAAAACAATGAGGGTCAGGTGCTGTGGCTCACACCTGAAATCCCCAGCACTTTGGGAGGCCAAAATGGGCGGATGACTTGAGCCCAGGAGTCCAAGGCCAGCCTGGGCAACACGGCAAAACCCCATCTTTACTAAACATACAAAAAATTAGCTGGGTGTGGTGGTGTACACCTGTAGTCCCAGCTACTCAGGAAGCCAAGGTGGGATAATCACCTGAGCCCAGGGAGTTGAGGCTGCAGTGAGCTGTGATTGGACCGCAGCACTCCAGCCTGGGCGATGAGCATGAGACCTTATCTCAAAAAAAAAAAAAAAAAAAAGAGAGAAAGAAACAATGAATAAGCAGCACAAATCCCCAGGTAAGGGCTCAGAGTATCTCTTACGAGACCTATGCTTCTCCACTGTGAGACATAAGTAAACACAAAGCTATACTTAGAGGAAATACAGGAGAAAATCAGGCTGAGCTACCTTGTCAGAAAAAAAAAGTCTACTCAACTGCTTAAGGAGTATTTTAAAAGGAGATTGTCATAACTTTTGAAAACCTCATACACAAATATACTAGTGTTTCTACTGGAGATATTCCAATAAGAACAGCTTGGTGATTGCAGCATCTCAAACACCAGGCTTTGAAGCTTCCTCATCCTGCAACTTTGCTCAACATAAGACATAAGTCCTCTGTGATGCTACAATCATTCTGTTTATTCCTAGTCTACTGAGTCTCCAGCTTTGTCCTTAAAAATATAAATATTATAATTTCACTTTAAAAACACATGTGCTGGCTTTGTCATTTATCAGTATTCCCAGTATAAACGAATTCCTGAGATCATCCATTTTTTAACTTTGCTTTACTGTATCTCTGCAACTTCATCTATCACTTTCCCCTCCCTTGCCTTGGAAAGTTGCAACTGCAAAGTTTCTCTTTTTGTTCCTTGAATACCCAATATCATTTCTTCCTCAGTTTTGCACTTGCTTTACCTCTGTATGAAAGGCTTTGAAGTAGCTTCTTCTCACTTGACCTGGGCCTCATATAGTCGCCTTGGAGAGGTTATAGTGACAAACTTACCAATGTTAGCCCATCACTCCCTGCCCTCACACCTTGCAGTAGCTTTACTTTGCCCTTTACTATCTAGAATTATTTATGTCGTCTCCACTACAGTGCAAGTTCTATAAGAACAGGTACTTGTTCACCCCAGTATCTCCAAGTACCCACAATTAACCTGGCACATAATAGGTGCTAAAATATTTCTTTGGATGTTAAAAGCACTGAAGTGAGCTTTTCTCACCTTCTTTAATCTCATCTCCAACCCTGATTAGATACTCAGTATGTACAGCAGTCACTATTTGGGCCTATTGTATATAATAACTAATTATCAGTGTTCCTCAGGGTACCCACAGAATTTTGGGCTGGGGTACTGCAGCTGGTTCTAAGCCCTACACCACCACCTCAAATCTTGCCCTCCTCTGCTCCACAGAGCATGACTATATTAATTAAATGCTAATCTTCACTGGCAAGCAGGCTCCTCAGTTTAAGATTAGCCTTAAACTCATTTCAAACAGAATGATATGACTTTAGAGAAAACCACCAACCCATATCACACTAGATTAAAGACCACTGGACAAAAAGATTGGACAACTGATCCAATAAAACAATGATCATTCCCTTACTCTTCAGCCCTTTCTCTTCCATGTCTACTTGGACCTCTCTCCCCATTAAATGATCCTGATAAATGAATAAAAAAGGAATATGGTAAGAATTTTGCAATGATCTGTTATCCAGTTATTCCAAGGTAGAAAATGGATCTAAACAATTTCATAATATTCTCTGCTACTCTCAACAAAGTGTTAAACACTGGTATATACATATTTCTATAAATTCAGCAAGCTGAACGATTTTCCAATAGGTAAATGTACCTGAAGACATACCTTCTAAACACAGCTTTGTCTCCACAGGCTATAAAAGTGGGGAGGAGGTACAGAATTGTTAGTCATGCTTGCTCTAGGTAGAAACTTATACATCATGGGATTTGGAAAGTCTCTATGCTAAAGGTGACACACTCTTCTAGAAGAAAGAAAATTAAAACTTAGCTTTATTAAAGGCAGAAAAATCAGCTTTATTAGAGAAAAATTAGCCTTATTGAAAGTCCCTGGAAATGAGAAGGATTAGGCCATCTGTGGTGGTGACCTGACTATAACCAGGGCAGTGAACTGCAGCTACATGCTTTTGGTGAAGGGTTTAAGATTTATTGATATCTGGCTGATGAGGAAAACATTGCTTTTACCTGCCGAAGTTGAGACTGATGTGTTAAAGCTTTTTAAAAAAATTTAAACTCACAATGGAAATCTGCTTCAGTACTTCCAACACGACAAAACACAGCATGTGGTCTTGGTTGCACCCAAGACAAATAAAAGCTGTCATAGTAAGCAGAGCTGCTATTCATTCCAGACTTGCTGGAGTATTTGTTCAACCAACCCACAGAGCTAAGTAAAGCCTTCAGTGATGCTACAACTATTTTGTTTGTAACTAGTTCTCTTTTCCACTGTTATTATCCATTTCTACTTTTTTACACATTGTAAATTGCTTAAACATAGTACAACTATTTAGTGAGAAATGCATCCATATTACACAACGTTACTACCTGCATATTTTTAAATACTCAAAGGTATATGCATTGTATCATATTGTTAAATTAACTTATTTCTTTGGAAGCACTGTATTATAAAATTATATTAGAGTCTGATATAAAGAAAATGCTCCCCATACCTCTTCTAGGCAGATAATATGCTAAAATTTCTTAATTCCTGATGTTTGCTTCATCTTGGAAAAGAAAAATATAAAATAAAAAATTATATACTTCAGTGGAAACTCTGTAATATTCTTCTTAGAACGTTTTACTAACTCTGTAAACCCTAACACCATTGCTGTCAATGTCACATTCACCGAATCATGTCTTCTTGAAGTAAAATCTTAATATGGGCTACTCTGTCAATGTGACATTTTCATTAGTTCTATTATTTTTGAACAGTATCTCAGCACTATAAAAAATATCCTGAAACATGGTCTCTGCCTGTTAGCTCATGACTATGAGAGGACACTTTTTTGATTATGTCATTGAATTTAGTCAAGAAATGTGTCCTTACTAGACACACAGACACGATTTTATCCTTCATATTTTGTTATATGCCTCTATGATATAAGCAAAAAGAGCTGGGTTCATAATATCAAAGCAGCACAATTGGGTCACCTTTGTCACAGACAAAAATAAAAAAAAAGCAGAAGGCATAAGACTGGATTTAGAAAGTGCTTAAAACAAATTCCACAGTCTAACAATAAAGATGGTGACTCCTGCTGTTTCAAGTTCAGTGTCCCTTAGAGGCACAGATCACCCTGAAAGAGAAAGGGAATGCTGGCCTTTCAATAAAACTGAGGCTGACTTCAGTGGTCTTTAAGACAGAGTCAAATACAACATGGGAGGAGGACTGACTGGACCAATTCAGCCCTCCTTGAGGCAAGATAAGAAAAATAACTTTTAAGTATTTTCCCTGCAAAGCACCGAAGGGCACACCATTAAGACAACTGATTACAGTACAGAAAGAAGCCAGGGTCATTTGAGTCTTTATTAAAGATTATTCATTTCTTGCATGAGGAGCTGCCCAGGCTATGGCTGCACATCACTTGTATGGAGCTCCTGGATTCTTCAAACACTGTGTGTGTCCGATTAGAAGGGAAACAACATAATTCTCGCTTGAGTAGAGAAACTGACCTTCACTGACCAGAATTTTTATTCATACAAAGAATCCTTTGGCACACCAAATTTTCAAGCTCATGTGATCCCTCATCAGTAAGCTGCAGTGTTAGTTCATGTGCAAAATCAAAACGTCTACATCAGCCAGGTACTGCCTTGGTTATTTAACAGATAATGTTGGAGCTTCTTCACAAGAGTATAATGTAAATTTAATTCTGAGCTGATATTAACTAAACACTATTACTGTAGCTCTCACTGAACCTATGTTCCATAAAGACGACTCAGGGCTTCTGTTCAGCCATTTGTGCCATGTGAGAAGTTAAGTGCTCTACTTCACATTTATTACCATCTAAGTGTAACATTCCTATTTTTGCCCAAATGACTAGAAACATGCACACACATATACCCCCACCACACACACACACAGCCCCACCACACACACACACACACACACACACACACACACGCACACACTCACACACTCCTCTTTTGGGAACAAAATCATTATTTTAGATTATTGGAAGTTTATGTAATGAGGTGAGGTTGCTCTTAGGGGACTCACCTGGGTCACTGGGCTCTACCTAATTCAGCGAAACAGGGTGCCTCCCCAGTGTGCCTCTGTGCTTTTGGTCAGTCAGCTGTGTCCAAACCTCCCACTCTCCCAAACAAGCAGGGACCTAGCCTAGAATCCTGGGATTTTGGGTGCAAAGGCAAAAGAGAAAATGACCCTTGTGGAGCCACGAGTGACAAGAAGAGGTGCCATATAGGGACAAAACCAAAACTGAAAATTGAGTAAATACTTCGATGTGTCGATTCCAAGGGGCTACACA